CCTGGGCTATAAAATGAGCTCAAGGCCAGCCTGAACTGCATACCAAGAACCTGTCTCAAAATGACAGAAACTACACACTGAATAAATTATAGTTGTGTTATTATTTTGAAATTTTATTCAGCTTGTTGTGAACCATTTAATTTTGTTTACTGTCACTTGCTTCACACTCCAATTGTAGGCAAGGAGGTATTACAGACAAAACACAGGTTAAAGAAATAAAACTGGAAAATATAAGAAAAAATTTCAACTATAAGGTCCAGTATATCTTTCAATTTTCTTTTAATGAATTCTTACAACAATAGACAATCCTGAATCTAAAATCCATATTAAAAAAAATAAATAGGCCTATTGCACTGTAATTTTTCCACAGCTCTGATCAACCTCCAACTAGAAGAGCAAAAGGAAGATTAATGGCTTCAGAGAGGGGACAAAACACAAACACCACAGATTTCAAATGAAAACAGCACAAAGTCCTATAAGTGTACCTTGAACATAGTAAGATTCAGTACTTGCTAGACATTAACATCATAAATTATTTAACTATTACTGATGCGGGATTTGTGTTAAAATATGTTGCATTAACTGACTACTGTGACAATGGACTCGCATTCTTTATACTGTTCTGTATACAAGACCACTGGTATGTGATTAGGGAATTGTCTCTATCTCAAAGTAACATAAGTCCACAAAAATAATCATAGCCTAGTGTTAAAGGGTACAGTTCTTTCATCATGTTTTCAATTTTGTATATATTTACTGATCCACTGACATTTTCAGTTAATACATTCTTTTTTTTTTTGGTTTTCTTCCGGCACTGGGAATCAAACTCACAACCTCACGCTTGCCAGGCAGGCACTGTGCTGCTGAGCTAAATCCTCAGCCCCTTCAGTTAATACATTCTACTGAGATTTAGGTATGTTTTAGTTACTTTTCTTTCTAAACTTGTCCACTTATCTACAAGATGTTCTTCAACTTAATGATGGAGCTATATCCCAATAAACTCATCATGCCGGGCATGGTGGCACACACCTGTAACCCCAGCACTCGGGAAGCTGAGGCAGGAGGATTGCTGTGAGTTTAAGACCAGCCTGGGCTACAAAGTGAGCTCAAGGCCAACCTGAACTGCATAGTGAGACCCTGTCTCAAAAAAAAAAAAAAAAAAAAAAAAAAAAAAAAAAAGGCAATAAATAAATAAATGGATAAATAAATAAACAAACCCACATACCCTGAATGCTCTCTAAAAGTGAATTGCAGAATGGCTGCATTCAGTTCTCTTGCAAGACCAGTAAGGTTAGAAAGTCATTAAGTCCTCTGTGCTGAGTCAGGACTGACTCTGTGACTGCTGCATCTTATATCTGTGGCTGTAGAGTTTCCTTCTTCCTTTTTCTTGCTTAGTATGGTAAATTTTTCTATTTTGTTAGATCTTTCATAGAACCAATGCTTGAATTTGACAACTCTACTTTTCCCTGTGTGTTCGTTGACTCATTCATATCTCCCATGTTTATTTATTCGTGTGTGGATATTTTATAACAACCTTACTAATTCTATTCTGAGCTTTACATTCTCATTTATATTTTGCTTTCTTGTTCTGGCATGTATTTTTTTTTTTTTTTTCTTTTTTTGGCAGGGGCTTGTTATGCAGTTCAGGCTGGCCTTGAGCTCACTTTTTTTCTCTGGTACCGGGAACCGAACTCACGACCTTGCACTTGCCAGGCAGGCGCTTTGCCACTGAGCTAAATCCCCAGCCCCCTTGTTCTGGCATGTATTAAAGCCTCTTACTACCATTCTGGATTTTTTTCTTTTTCTTTTATTTAAAATTTTGATTTACATATTTTGATTCAATGATAACTGATGCATAAAAGGTTTGTTATAACTTTATACTGATTTTTGGCTGGGTCTGGTGATGCGTACCTCTAATCCCAGCACTTGGGAGGCTGGGGCAGGAGGATCGTTATGAGTTCGAGGCCAGCCTGGGCTACAAAGTCAGTTCAAGGCCAGCCTGAACTGCATAGTGAAACTTTGTCTGAAAAAGACAAAAACAAAGCCTTGATTTTTAATACTGAATGACCTCTGATTCTCAGTTAATACATTTTTTGCCTTGAAAATATGGCTTTGTCTCATCTTAATGCTAAGATCCATATTTTATTGTCTGACATAATTTTGTCTCTACTTTTAACATTTATAACGGCTTTTTTGTTTCTTTATTTTTGAGTCTGGGTTTTACTGTGTAGCTCAGGCTGGCCTAGAACTTACAACGTTTTTTCTGCCTCAGCCTCCCAAGATTACAGGTGTGTGCCACCACACAGTTACAACAGCTTTACTGAGATAACGTATACATAATGGTATAAATTGTACTATGTTTTCTAAGGGCTATCACAAACTACAAACTTAATGGCTTAAAACCACACAAACTTATTTTCTTGCTTTTACTGGGCTAACATCAAAGTTGCTGGCCAGCTGGATCCTCTGGAGGCTCTGGCGAGAACCCATTTCTTTGCCTGGTCTGGCTTCCACTAGTCTACATTCCCTAGTTCCCGACCCCTTCCTGGTAGCCACCTTTTTGCATCCACCAACACACAGTACTTACATATCTATTTCCTTTTGTCTCTTTCTTATAAAGACACTTGTGATTATATTTAGGGCTTACCTAATCTCCCCATTTTGAGAGTTTTAATTTCATCATGTCTGTAAAATACCTTTTACCTTGTAACATTCACAGGTTCCAGGGTTAGGACCTGGCTACCTTTGGGGCCATTATTCAGTTTATCAAACTACAGTTCACTCATTTAAAGTGTACAATTCAGTGTATCAAAGAGTTCTATAGTCATCATCACAATCTAATTTTAGGTCACTTTTATCCCCCACAAAAGAAATCCTGTAGCTGTCACTCTCATTCTTCCCTCCCCTTTTCCCAAGCTCATGGCAAACACAAATCTACTTTATATACAGATTTGCTACAATGCATCTAAATGCACTCACAATATATGGTCCTTAGGTATTTTTTCAGAGCTGGGGAAATATGTAGTCCTTTGTGATGCTCAATGTTTTCAAGGTTCATCCATGATATAGTACATTTCTGTGGTTCATCCTCTTTCCTTTGCTGAATAAGCCCACTGAGTAGCTATACTACATTTTATTCGTTTATTCATTGGCCGATATTTGGGTTGTTACCACTTTTGGTTACTATGACTAATCTTGCTATGAACACTGTATGCATGTTTGAGTGTGAACAGGTATTGAGTTCTCTTGAGTATAGCTTAGGAGTAAAACTGCTAAGTCAAATGATAATTCTACTTTTAGCATGTTGAGAAATGCCAATTATTTTCCAAAGAAACTACACTATTTCATATTTTCAACAGCAATGTATAACTGTTCTTCACATTCTCACTGCTAAGGTTTACATCTAGATGTCCTCATGGGGGTGAGATACTCATCAGTGGACTTGTCCGCTGATGAGTTTAGGGCTAAATGTGATGCTGGGAGGTAAAGCCTGGTCGGAGGAGAGGTGACCACAGCGCAGCCTACAAGGGTCCATCTCTTCCCCACTCTTTCACTCCCCCCCCCCCCCGCTTCCTGCCGCCGCCACCAGCTGCTCCCCTCTGGGCTGCCGTTCTGCTTTGGAGCCAGCTGACTGTGGACTGAAACCTCCACAAACTGGGAGCCAAATATACCTCCTTTATGTTGTGAGTTGTGTCTACCGTATTCCAGCAATAAGACAGATTTTGGTATGAAGAGTGGGGCCATTATTCTAGTGGGTATGAAGTCTTCTCATTGCAGTTCTGATTTTCATTTCCTTAATAACTAATGATTCTTTATCATTACTTTTTAGTCATCAGGAAAATGAAAATAAAAATTTGCTTATTCATGAAAAATATTTAATAGTGCTCATTTTCTTTTTGGTCATTTCTATGACTTCCTTGGAGAAGTAGCTATCCATTCAAATCTATGACCATTTTTAAATTGGGTTGAGTTGTAAGAGTTATTTATATATTCTTGATACAAGTTCTTTTTTTATTAGATATATGATCTGCAAGTATTTTCTCCCATTTTGTGGGTTGCTTTTTCCTTTCATTTTTTCATTTTGTTTGTTTGTTTGTTCTTTTTCTAAGATAGGGTTTCACTATGCAGTTCAGGCTGACCATGAACTCACTTTGTAGCCCAGGCTGGTCTCAAACTTGAGGCGCTGTTCCTGCCTCAGCCTCCTGAGTGCTCGGGTTACAGGAGGGCACCATCATACCTGGCACAGTGCTGTTTTAGGAAAGAAGATGTGCAGATTTCATATTTATCAATGATATGATGGTAAGGGCTGGTTGTCAGACATGTTTGAAACGAGATGCCTTCTACCACATTCTTTTAAGGAAAGGCCTTCATATGCACTGCACTCCTAGAAATCATTGGGAAAACTCAACATAAGACTCAGAAACATTAAATAGCTAGATGTGGTGGCACATGCCTGTAATCCCAACCTTCTGAGTGGATTGCTTGAGCCCATGACTTCAAGATTAGCCTGAGCAACACAGTGAGCCCCTATCTGCATCAATCAATCAATTTTAAAAGTAAAAAATACTCAAATATATTTCTAAATTGAATCACAACATTCAGTTCCACAAAGAAATGCAATGTTTAATATATGTGTAATTTTATGTATTTGCAACTCAAATATCTGATTATTAAATATACCCAACTGTGTCTCATAAAGTTAACATCTTGAAATGATCCAGCATTTTGCTTTGGACATAAATCAGTAATTTTTTGCAAAATCTTGCATTGGTTTCTCAGCAAATACATTATCTTTTTTCCCATTGTATCTGGTGAAGTAAAAATACCTTGTTATAGTAACGATCCTTTTTGTTTTTATCTGCATAAACTGCTCTGAAAACCAGTCTTCCATCCTTGGATGAGGGTATGGTAGAAGCACTAACTACCAAAGTGGAAAGAGAATCAACAACAACCCTCCCAAAGTAAAAGGCAGTTTAGAACACAGATTCATTCTAACTTACCACATTTTCCAAAGGCGCTGCACCAAACACCTTAAAGACAGGGTTGGGTTTGGAGGGCGAGATACAGAGGACAATAGCTTGCTGTCCCACTCGAGTAGTATATTCATCTAATGTAGCTCGAAGTTTTCTGAATCAGAATGGAAAAAATAAAAACATAGATAGACATTACAGTGATATGGGCATAGGTTAAACTTACTTTGAAATCAGATAAGCATTGTTCTACCTAAAACATGAAAAGGAGCATGTTGAAGTGTGATACAAACTTTTCTCTAAAAGACCAACAGCTAGCACACTAATACAAGGGTCTCCTGTGATTCTGTCCTGAGACACAGCCATGATGAACTTTGAATGGAGCAAGTATCATCCTTCCTGACCTTACCAAGACCAACCACTAGTACTTAATGAGGATTACTGCTAAAATGTCCTCTTACAGGGCCGAGGATACAGCGCAGCGGCACAGCTCCTTGTTTGGCAAGCGCAAGGTCCTGAGTTCGATTCCCGGTACCAAAAAAAAGAAAAAAAATGTCCTCTTACAGATTTCATTATATAATTTCCATGCTTATGAAAGTCTCAAAAGATGTGCTTCTAACTTCTTTTACTAATATAGTCATTGCTTATTGTTCACTGGCATTTTAATGAAAAATATTACTTTAAAAAAGCTTTGCTTTCAGATTTTCATTGTGTCATAAACAATAACTCTCAGTCCTACAGGATTATACTCATGAGGATGGAATAAGAACAGCTTTTACAAATACAGCACCTGCCCCCATCTGTAAGAAATATGTCCCAAGTTCCCCAGTGGATGCCAAAACATATATATATTTTTTTTCCTATAGATACTGCTGATAAAGTTTCATTTACAAACCAGGCATAGTAAGAGATTAACAATAACTAGTAATAAAACAGGACAACTGTAACAATATACTTTAAGAGGTTATTTAAAAGCTATGAGGTATTTATTCTGAAATTTTCCACTTAGTATTTTCAGGCCATGTTTGACCACAACTAACTAAAAACATAGAAAGCAAACCCACAGATAAGAGATTACCATAGAGCAACAATGCATGAAACAGAAACATTGTACTTTTGTTCTCCCGTCACAAAAGATTATCCTGAAATTCTACATTTCATAATTCTTCTGAGAATACAGTCTACGCTTTAAGGTAATGGTGAGCAAGGCAGCACATACCAAACAAGAAATCTGGCAGCATTCCTTGAAGGAATGATTTACATTTGCTGTCTCCAATTCTTCTTCTCGATTCTCTCTTGAAGACACTCCAATCCTTTTACCTTCACCATTCTCCTGGAAACCCTCTTGTCAAGTTTAATCATGACCTTCATGCTGCTAAATCTAATGGTCAATGTGCACCTTATTCAAGCTGTAAACAGTATTTGACAGGGCTGGTCACATACCCTCCTTGAAACACTTCTTGCACTTGGTTTCCAAGACACCACTCTTGGTTCTCCAGACTCACCAGTTGCTTCGGAGACTCCACTGGTTTCTTTCATCTCTCCACCGTGAAAAGGATAGAGTTGTTCAGGCACCTAGGCTCATAGTTTTAAATGCTATACGAGCAATATACTTCTAACAGTCTCACCAAGAATTCTCTTTTGACTTCCACTCTCATTTATCCAGTTGCTTATTCTGCATTGCCATTTAATGGTGAAGAGGTATCAAACATTTAACATGTCCCAAAACAAAGCACTGATTCTGCCCCTACCCTCTCTCATATCTGCTCTTTCTCTAGCAAATACAATCTCCATCCTCCCAATAATCTGACCAAAAATCTTGAGGTCACTCCTTACTCCTTTTTCTCCTCTCATGTTCCATATCCAATCTGTCAAGAAATCACACTGAGTTGACGTGTAAATACATCCAGAATGTGATCACTTCTTACTATCTCTGTTGTTACCAACTGGTTTTAAGACACTGATCGTTTCTGGCCTGAAATACTACAGTAATCTGATTCTTCTACCTATTTCCATTCTTGTACACCTAGCGTCCATTCTCAATTTAATACGGAACACTGCAATAGACTGCAGGCCTTTGGCTGGATTCTGCAGATCTCTAGTGAAGGAACAGATCTCTTGTGCCCTTCCATGATTGACTCTGTGGGTGGATATTGTCAGCTACTCTTGTAAATTTCTGTGTCCTGCATCAAACCTGCTTCTCTCTAATGCTGACTACATCTCTCTAATGTGACTACATCTTCTCTCTAATGCTGACTACATCTCTCTAATGTGACTACCATATTCCCACTGAAGAGCCTGGGCTTTTAATGCTCCCACTCCCTGCAATGTTCTTCCCCTAGATAATCACAATTACTTTTCTCACAATTACTTTTCTCACTACTGAGACAAAATAGCCAGCAGCACCCAGTGATGCTGCTCAGCAGCACAGTGCCTGCATGGCAAACGTGAGGCCCTGAGTTTAATTCCCAGTACTGCCCCCACCCAAGGCAGTGGTGGACACTTGTAATCCCAGCACTCAGAGGCTGAGGCAGGATTGCCACAAGTTCAAGGGCAGCCTGGGCTACCTAGTGAGTTCAAGGCCTGCCTGAACTACATGGCAAGATCCTATCTCAAAAAAACTAAAAGTAAAACAAACAAAATATCCAGCACCCAAAATTAAAGGAAGAAAGGTTTATTCAGCTCAGTTTGCAGAAGTTTCAGTTCATGGTTGGCTGGCTCTAAGGCAGGGTGGCATGGCGAAGCAGTGTCACAAAGGAGTAACAGTTCACGGCAGGCAGAAGCAAAGAATCAAAGAAGCAGCAAGTGACCACAACAGCCCTTTCTGTCCCTTATGGTCTATTCATACTATAGGCTGGTAGCACTCAGACCTAGGATGGACTTTCCCATTGTTCACATCCAGAACTATGCCAAACCAATCAATGGAATAATTTAGTAATTACACACCATTAATCCCAGCATCACACACTCTAGATCCAGCCACCTCTGAAAAGCCCCACCTATGCTGATTAAACTTTGGGGGAACATCTAGACACAAGCTATGATATTTTGCACCACCACCACCACCCCCCGCCACAAAACTCAGGCACATCCCTTTAAGCAATAGGCATTTAGTCCATCTGCAAGAGTTGCCAAAATCCTAACAGTTTCAACACTGCTTAAGAGTCCAAATCTATAGTCTCCTCTGAGATTCCAGGCAAACTCTGTGCAAATGTAAAGAAAGTTAAATACTTCCAGCATACCATGGCACAAGATAAAACATTCCCACTCCAATCAGGGGGATAGAAAGAAATGAGACCAAAGCAAGTACAAAACCCAGCAGGGCAAACATTAAGTCCTTGTTGTAGTCAGGGTTTACAAGGGAAAAGATTTAATACAGGACACATAATTTATTTTATAATATTACTTTGTAATATTCACCAAAAAAGTCAAGTGCAAAACAGTGCGGGGGGAGCTGGGGATTTAGCTCAGCGACACAGCACATGCCTGCCAAGAGCGAGGTCGGGAGTTCAATTCCTTGTATATGGGAAAAAAAAAAAAAAGAGTGTGGGAGATCTGTCCACACACTAGAGACCCAAAGAATCCAGCTGGAGGCCTGGATCCCATGACAATGTCCTGCATGCATCCAGCTGAAAACCTAAAGTCTTGTGGCAATGTTTTCCACGAGTCTAGCTGGAGGCCTAGAGCCCACAACAATGTCTCACACAAGTCTGTATCAAGGATCTGCACTGGGAAGGCCCAAAGGTCAGTGGTTGATGCCAGAAAGTCTTTGCTAGCCAGATGAAGGATCTGTACCAACAGGCAGAGGGATCTGTACTAGAGCGAGGAAGTGACGCTCAAAGTAAGGACTAAAGCTTCCCCCCAAAATAACACTAGCCATCCTCAGTGACAGCAAGGACCCAAGGGCCCCTGACGATGAGAACAGCCAAGTTTGTATCAGGAAAACCAGTGTGACAAACTTCTCCAGTAGAATCAAGAGCACACCATCTTCCCCTCTAGTTCTCTTTTTATGCTGTTGGCAACAATCTTCAGGTGGGCCTTCCACACCCAGCACCATGCTGATCCAGTTCAGCTGAATGTTACAAGTTGACAATTAGTTAACCCACCCCAGTCCTGTAGTTCCGTGTCTAGCATCTGAGGCAGTCTATGGTAAGATGTTAACTCCAAAGGGTTTAAGTGGCTCTGGTCCTATAGCACTGGAGATGGTTGCAGCTTCCACAGCTTCTCTCTTGAGACATCTCTGCTCATTCACTGCCTCTTTCCTTAGACAATCCATGTTCCTGGTTTCTCCAACCTTCTGGGGTTTCCACTGCACCTTCGGCTTCCCCCTCACAACTTCACACTGCCTGGTCTCCCAGGCCTTCTTCTGAAATCTAGGTGGAAGCCTTCCTGACACCATAACTGTTCCATTCTACATGCACTTAGAACCAGCACCATTTGGATGATGCCAAAGACAGTGCCAGCTGGAGCAACAGCCAGCTTCCCTCTCTCTTGGCTGTAAGGGATGAGTGCCTAGGTCACTGAGCACTATGAACCCAAACCTGAGGAACAGATTTTCCAGGCTGCTGCCATTCTGGAACATGGTACTCTGGGGCTCTCAAATTCTTGCACTTTTGCAATCTTGGGGCTGCAAAGGCTGGAGTCCTGCTTTCTTATTATTGTCCTCAGGCCATCTTTTTCATTATCCTCTTCCTTCTCAGCAACCAAGTTCTCAGCTCTATCTTTGCAGTCCACAGCTTTACTGGGTCTTCCTTTCTGGTCAAACTCACACTTAAAAAATCATTTTGCTGGGCTCTTTGCTCCTGATTCTCAACATAGTTCTAGCTTAAATTCCCCAACAGTAACCATGTTACCACAACATTAGACTGCCCTGAAATTTCCTCTGCAAGATTAATTAGTCTGCTGTCCTTAATGTCAAATGGCAACATGAGCAAAATGCAGACAAACTTTCTGCCAAGGCATAACACACACCATCTGGAGTCTAACAACCAGTGTAGTCTTTCTTCCCAGTAGAAACCAGTCTTTACCAGCAGCATTTCTATCAACATTCTGATCTGAGTTCTGACCAGAATTTCCCATCAAGTACAGCTTAAGCCATTCCGGGGCTGCTTCTTCAGCCAGCATCTCCAAACCATTCCAAGCTCCAAACTCTTTCCACACGTCAGTTCCAAAGGCTCCTGAACTGTAAGCTCAGGTACAGTCACAGCAACAAACCCATTGCTGGTACCAAATCTGTCTTAGTTACTTTTCTCATTGCTGAGACAAAATACTCAACACTCAAAGTTAAAAGAGGAAGATTTCTTTTGGCTCCCAGTTTGTAGAGGTCTCAGTCCATTGTCAGCTGCCTCCAAGACAGGGTGGCATGGCAGAAGGGCATCACAGAGGAGAAACTGTCCATGGCAAAACAGCACAGGCAGAAAGCAGCTACCAGTGAAGTAGTAAGTAGCAATCAATGGCAGCAGCCCCTTTTCTGTCCCTTATTCTACCCAAGCTATCCACCCGCAGGGTGGGTGGTACTCAAACCGAAGGGAGGCCCTTCCCATTATCCATACCCAGAACTAAGCTAAGTCAATCAGTGGACTAATTTAGTATTTACACACCCTTAATCCCAGCATCATACACTCTAGATCCAGCCACCTCTGCAAAGCCCCACCTATGACCCCAGGAGACTTGGGGGGACATCGAGACACAAGCCATAACAGTCATTCCTTCAGGTCTCTACTCAAAGGTTGTTTTATCAAAAAGGATTTCCCAGACCATTCCTATGAAGAAACTACTATGTCTCTTCACCTTCTGATTTTCAGGTTTTCTTTTTTTTTTTTCTCCGGTACTGGGAACCGAACTCACAACCTTGCGCTTGCCAGGCAGGTGCTTTGCCGCTGAGCTAAATCCCCAGCCCCCAGGATTTCATATTCCACTTTATTTTTTTCCACCATACTTATCATCTGACATAGTAGATGTTGACTTTTTTTGTCCCTTTATTAGAATATAAACTTTTATGGAATTTGTTGTTCACTATTGTTACCAACGTCTAGAATAATACCTGGTACTCAGCAGGTATAGAAATTTCCTTCGAACAAGTTAAGGTGATATACATCTGTTAAATCATATTTCTAGATTTTCATCTATTTAAATTTGTAAGAGTAGAAACTGTCATTCACAAAAGACTCCAACCTGGTGTTCTTGAGGAACCTAATAACACATGTTCTGTCATCCACATATGAAGCATTTGAGGAACAGTAATGCTACAGATAAGGAAGCCCTCACCGAAGCAACCGTGTTTGCTGTCTCTTCCGGATAGAGGGATTAGACTCAAACACATGAGGCCGTTTCCGTTTCTTCCCTGTTGCCACAGCAGCTGCAGCAGCCATTCCCACAGGACCTGAAATAATAAGTATGTGCTGAGATTAGGCAGAAGCCTGCAACTGCACCAGACAGAAAACAATTAAAGACATTAAAAAGGTGGCTTTTCTTTTCTAGTATGTTGTCAGTGAATACAGATGGTTTCATACGAATCATGTTGATTTACCAATAAAACTTACAGTGAACCTTTTTAAAAAGCAAATGACTTACACCTCCCCACTACACACCAGCTTGAATTTTGTATAATGCTGTTGTTCTGTTTTGTCAGCATGCCCATACTGTTATGGCAATATTCTCAGAGGTGCTAGAACAATTGCAGCATTGAGAGGAAGGCTTGCCAAGACTGAAACAAGTTACCAGCTTCAAATTCACTTCCACTCCTGTGCCCTTCCTTATTATTCCAAGACACTGCCAATTAGGAAACTCAGAGATAATCAGTCACTCTTGGAACTCCAATAAACAATACCTGCAAGAGGGGTATCCAAAAGAATAACATCTTAACTGGAAAACTTTTCTTTCAGATCTGGGAAATGTGCCAAAAACAGAGATACTGACCACAAGGTCAAGTTGATGAAAGTGTTCTGGCAGAAAAGTGATGAAAACGTTCCCATGCTATGGAGAAGTTAATAAAATTTCAATGGTATGCCTGGAAATTAATGTACAATGATTTTTTGAAAGGTAAATGAAGGGTAAGGAACTACAATAGCCAACTATGATACCAGGGATCTCAACATGTCAGACATTTTTTTCTTTTTAAAAAGGCATTTTACCTGTATTCTAAATGGTGAACCCTATAAATGGATTAAATGAAAATTAAATTTAACTGTTCCATCTATACCAGCATGTATATTCTAAGTGGTTGAATTGAAATAAGCTTTCCTGTAAACCTAGATGAGTTTCTGTACATGTTATTGGAGTACAGTCAGTCTGACTTAAATATAACCCAAAATATGATTATTTCTTTCCTATCATAAACAGCTGATAAGGGGAAAAAAACTGGTACATTTTCCTCCCAACATTTTATTTTATAAAAAGGTGGCAAGAATATGCAACTTATGCAGCGTACGTAACTGAAATTATCTGTTTTTTTCTTTGTTTTGTTTTTCCAGGGATAACCTTGCACATGCTGGACAAGTGCTCTACCACTTAGCTATACCCCCTGCCCTGAAGTGATCTGTTGAACTCCATATATCTCCTTCCCCTCAGGTCCTAGCAGCCACTACTCTATTCTTTGCTTCTATGAGTTGACTATTTAGATGCCTCATCTAAGTGGATTGATGAAGTACTTCTGTCTGTGACTATCTTATTTCAGTTAGCATAATGTCCTTGAATTTCATTCATGTTGTCACATACGGCAAAGTTTCCTTTTTTAAAGTTGAGTATTTTCCTCTTATGCATAGATATATACATACTTCCTTTGGCCATTCATCCACCAGTGGTAATTCAGATTGTTTTCACATCTTGGCAATCACATATAATGCACCAATGAACATGGGAGTGCAAACAGCTCTCTGAGTTCCTGATTTCAATTCATTTGCATAAGTAACTAAAACTACTGGACCATATCATAGTTCAATTTTTAACTTTTTGAGGAAATCCTATATTGTTTTTCATAGTGGTTGCACAATTTAAAAATCACCACCAACAGTGTGCAAGGATTCCAACTGCCCAATAACTTTTACAATATTGGTTATCTTTCTATAATAACCCAGTAGGTATATGGTGTTATCTTATTGTGGTTTTTGATTGGCATTTCCTGGTGGTGTTGGTTATCTTTTCATATCCTTTTTGGCCATTTGTATATATTCTTTAGAAAGATGTCTACTTGGGTCCCTTATCCATTTTGTTGTTGTAGTTGTTTGTTTGAGACAGGGTCTCACTATGTAGTTAAAGCTGGCCTCAAATGTGCATCACCACATGCACTGATCCACTTTTTTAATCAGGTTATTTCTTTGCTATTGAGTTGCGTGTATGAAAACTTTCATACACATGAGAAATGTTGAAAGACTTTTAATATTTTACTGTACCTATGTGTCTACCTTCCTATTCATTATTATTCTTTATGCATTTCAAAGTAAACTGTAAATATAAATATAGAAATTAAACTTTAGTAAGCACATCATCAATTAGAGTTCAATATTTGTTTGCATTTCTCTCCTTAGGTGACATTTACATGAAATACAGAAACCCATGTATACATTAAATACATTTTTATTTTTACCTTTTTGGTTTTTTTTTTTGAGACAGAGTCTCACTGTAGTTCAGATTGGCTTTAAACTCACTATATAGCCCAGACTGTTCTCAAACTTATGGGGATCCAACTGCCTCAGCCTTCTGAGGGCTAGGATTTCAGGCGTGTTTCACCACGCCCAGCTCTATTTACTTATTTTTGGGGGTTTGTTTTGTTTTGTCTGTTTGTTTGAGACAGGGTTTCACTATGTAGTTCAGGCTGCTCTCGAACTCATGGCAACCCTCCTGCCTCAGCCTCCCAAGAGTTAGGATTACAGGCATGTGCTGCCACATCTGGTATGATACATTTTAATGAAACATACTGTATATGTTTATGAATCCCAATCTTCTATGAAGATATAGCCACAGAAAGTTATTTCATGCCCTTTCTAGTCAATTCTCATCCTTATCTCCTGAAGAGACTACCATTTTGATTTTTTTCATTCTATGTTAGTCTTTCCTATTATAGAACTTCAAATAAACAGAACTATATGTATATACTCCTTTCAGTAGGGTTTCTTTCACTTGGAATAATATTTTTAGATTTATCCATGTTCCTGTATCAGTAGTTTGTTTCTTTTTATTGCTGAATAATATTCCATTGTAAAGATAAATCAACTTGTTTATTCATTATCTTATTGATAGACACTTAGGCTATTTCCAGTTTGAGGTTATTGTGCATAAAGCTGCTTAATTTTATCAATTTACTGGCACATGCCTGTAATCCCAGCACTCGGGAGGCTGAGGCAGGAGGACTGTTGAGTTTGAGACTAGCCTGGACTACAAAGTAAGCTCAAGGCCAGCCTGAACTGCACAGCGAGACCCTGTTGCAAAAAAACCAAAAATAAATAAATAAATAAATAATCAATTTATGAATTCAACACAATTCAAATGAAAATTTCAATAAGGGTTTCTGTGAACTTATAAGCTGATCTTAATATTTAAATGGAAGTGTAATAGTCAAGAACAAGCAGAACAACTCAGAAAACACTAAGAACCACAGGAGAGGGAACACTTATCCTACCACATATTTAATCATCACTATAAAGCTACAGTTATTTAAAAAGTGAGGAATTGGATCACAGATAAATAATTAAACTGAAACAACTAAATTGCAAAGTTCATAACCACCTTTTCGTGTCAGCAGACAGAGGTGGAAAATAACAGATCATCAAAAATACGTTGTGGACTGTCCACATGGAAAAATACTCTGGCTCAGAGAAATGCAAATTAAACCAGCATAGAGATTGCTTCATCCCCTTCAGATGGACAAAAATGAAAAAGACAGATACAAATGTGAGGATGAAAAATAGCAGGCGTTCTAGTACACTGTTTGTAGGAAGGTAAAGTCATACAATGACTTGGAAAGACATTTGGCAGTGTTTGTAAAGGTGAAAATGTGTCTATCTTACGCCCTTCAATTCCCTTGCTGTATGCACCCGCGAGTAGTGTTTTGCAAGCCCCAAGCTGTGACCCTTCGGTGGTTCACGAGCCACGTTTTTTCTAATAAAATAGAATAAACTAGGCCATATCACACAGTATATCACTTGAAGAAAGGGTAGGTATTGTTTTAGCTATATGTGCATTTATTTATTTTGGGTTACAGAGAAATCACACATGTAGACAAGAAAACATGTAAAATAATTATCATCTGCAGCAACTCTAGTAGCAAAAAATGGTATCTACCAGAAGAGATATTCAGATAACGAATGCAATACCAAGTAACAGCTAAAATTAAAATATATATCTATATTACCAACATGGATGAATCACAGAAAAATTCTAAGTGAACAGAACATGTTACAGAAATGTAGGATTAGAGTGCTATCATTAAAATGTAAAAGATGCAAAACAATGCTAAACATGTTTAATGATATATGCACATATAGCAAAAACATACATATATATAAAGAAATGCAAGAGAATGATAAAGACTAAATCCAAATGACAGTTACCTCAGTGGAGGGAAAAGAACAAGATTAGAAAGAGGAACAGTACACTAGAAGTTTCAACCACATCAGTAATTTTTCTTTCTTAAAACAAACCAAGCTTGAGTAAATATGTTAAAACAGTGGTAATAATTGACAAAGCTGAGTGGTAGGTGTATGTGGGTCTGTCGTGTCAATCCTGATACTTTTTATATTCAAACAGTCAAATATTTTCTACTTTTTGGACACTCACCAAAACATTACATTTAAAGTACTAATTATAACTATAGACCATGTGAATTCTTTCTTCATTTCTTTAATTTGTTACCCTATCCTTTCTTGCTTCAAAGGAAATAAAGGACTAAATTCAATTTTGCTTAAGAAAAAGTCTTCTAAAATTCACATTGATGATTGATGCCAAAAAAGTCTGACTGACTTGCAATACTGTTTATAGTACCTGTTGACTTCATTTCATTGTGCTACTTCTAGGTTTTTTACTATTTCTACTCTTCTTCCAATGGATTGAATACTTCTGGAGCACGCTCTTGGCTGTCTTATTCATATAATTTATATCTACTATTACAAGTCCTCGACAGTTGCTGAGTGATGGAACAGTAAGTTATTTCTACCAGCTGGGTGTCAGTTTCCACTTCAGGTAAATGAAAATGTTAGACTAAAGTCCTTCCCTGATCTTTTTTTTCCCCAGTGGGATTTGCAGGGTGCTGGAGATCAAGCCTAGGCCTTACACATGTTAGGCAGCCACTCTACCACTGAGCTGCAACCCAAGCTATCTCCTAACCTTAACACTGAAATAACACAGTATAGCAATACTGTAAATCCACTCTCAAAACCATTTTCCTTCCTAGGAAAGTTGATCTGGATTTATTATGTAAGGGTGCCCTCTTCTGGAAAGTGTAAGAATTTCACAAAATACATGTTAGAAATATTTCACGTGTTTTGCCACTAGGCCTTTTAAAAAAAATTGGTAGCACTGGAATAGAACTCAGGGCCCCACACGTGCTGGGTAAGCACTCTACCACTAAAGCTAGCATTCCAGAAATTACACTGTGGATAATAACGCACAGTAATACGATTTTTCTTCACAGCATCTGCCTTCGTCCCCATAAATATAGCACACATATTTAAAATGTAGCATGTAGGCCATTCCTGATCATTGACTTCTAGCCCAGCCTTTCCTAATTATCTTCTAAGATAAATACTCCTTATATGACGCTAGACCCATCCAGGCACAGTTTACATGAAGTCTTCTCATCATGGTGCTAAATATATAATGTAAATAGAATGATTTAAAATATAGCTCAGCATTAAGTCATTTTGTGCCCAGAGAAAAATCTCAGAACCTTAAATTGGGTTAAGATGATTCAACAATGCTAGTAGCCTCAGGTATCTGGCAGAGCAAACAAAATCATCTCTAGATAAAAATGACATTATTCTAGGCCCAAGATTATTTCTAAAAATAACTTTCCAAGCACACTGTCCAGCATTCACTTAACTATAACCAATAAATGCAGAAAAGAGTCAACATGAGCAAGAAATGTCACTAGCAAAAGAGGCAAACCCAGCTGGGTATAGTGATTCATACCTATAATCCCAGCATTCTGGGAGGCTGAGGCAGGAGGACTGAGAATTCAAGCCCAGCCTGGGCAATTTTGCAACTGAGCAAGAACTCACCTTAAACTTTAAAATTGGCCTGGGGCCAGGCGCAGCTGCTCACCCCTGCTATCCCAGCACTTATAGGGAGGCTGAGGAAGGAGAATCCAAGATTGACTCTACTTGGGCAATTTATAGAAACTTTTTTTTTTTTTTTTTTTTTTTTTTGGTTTTTCTCAGGAACCGAACTCACGACCTTGCGCTTGCCAGGCAGGCGCTTTTGCCGCTGAGCTAAATCCCCAGCCCCTATAGAAACTGTCTTAAAATAAAAAGGGTTGGGGGAGTTGGGGTAGAGTGCCCTGGGTTTAATCCACCAGTACCCATCCTATTCTGCCCAAGACTGGGAATATAGCTCAATGCAAAGTCCTTGGATTCAATCCCCAGTACTGAAAAAAGAAAAGAAAGAGAAAAGAAAAAACTTGGAAGCTCAGTTACCAGACAAACTGGAAAATCCTGTTAACTCTACTCATGGAGAATTTTTACAGCTTTTTTTCACTACCCAACTGGAAATTTTTTTTTTTTTTAAATTGTTGACAGTATTTTCTGAAGGAAAATAAAATCACACTAGAAATTCTCGGGCTTTGGGTTGTAGCTCAGTGGTAAAGCACTTCTCTAGCATGCACAAGGCTGCTGGGTGCCATTCCTAATACCACCCCACTCCAAAAAAACACCCAAACCCTAAATCTAGGGAGAAAAAGAAAAACACCAGCCAAAACTATTATCAAAATTAGTAATAAAATGGGCATACTTTAAAACCCCTTAGAGGCTAAGAGGAAAATTAATAAATTAGAAGAAAATACATAAAATGAAGCTTAAAGAGACAAATGGCCAAGCCTGGTGGTACATGCCTATAACTCCCACACTTGGGAGGCTGAAGCAGGAGGATCACTGTGAGTTTGACACCAGCCTAGGTTACACAGTGAGTTCAAGGCCAGTTCACAACAATAGCAACAAAGGGAAAGGAATAGGGAGAAGGGGCAAAAGGGAGAGAGAGAAGGGGGAAGGGGAAGGGAGGGGGGAGGAGGAGAAGGAGAACTTCCAAGCCAAGCCGTTACCTGCAGCAGCCAGATGGGCTGTCACCTCGTCGGCCGCAGTAGAGTTGAGTATATCTGAATCATCATAGGAGGTGTCCTCAGGGGAGGAAGGGGAGTCTTCATCAGCACTCAGCATGCTGTGCTCAGTGTAAGTGGCCACGTGGACCTGCTGTACCTGCTGGGCCACTGCATGGGCTTCTATGGTCGCCATGTGTTCAGTTTGGGTCACTCCGTGTTCCTCCATGAAGATCCACTGCCAGGGGGGCGGGAAAGGAAAAGAGGACTCAGTGTGTAATGTAACAAACACAGTGCTAAACTAAGAGGTGCTTTCTTCAACAGCAGAGAAACTTGGACAAGCCCGATTTTACCACTTATCTCACCACACCCACACACAGAAAATAGAAAACTTCATTCAAATATGACATAAAATGATGGAAGATGTTCCTGATGTGAAATCATTTTGATGGTAATTGGCTCCAGTCAGGTCACAGAACAATAAATCCCCTTGATACACATAGCAATAAAAGATATTTAAATGTAACAATGAAAGATACTTAAAGTATCTCAGTGACTAGGATTTGACATTATGGAGATAAAAACACTTAGTAAATAAATTAAATGCTTAACATTTTCTTTGTATCTTAAAGACAAATAGGGGGGGCTGGGGATTTAGCTCAGCGGCACAGTGCCTGCTTGGCAAGCACAAGGTTGTGAGTTTGAGTCCTGGCACCGGAAAAAAAACAAAAAAAAAACAAACAAAAAAGACAAATGGGAGCTAAAGGTTTTTATCCCAAAATATAATTATTCAAATTAATTTTTCTGCTTACAAAACTGTGCTTCTTGCAAACCCTAAAATGATGCAGTAATCTATAAAGCAGCAAGTTAAAAGTTTGCTCTCCTATCACACTTTTAAGTTCCTTCCCTTCTCTAAAAGTTCATTATTCTTGAAAAAAATGGAACATAGGTTCATATCACACATATTTTTTGCCTTTCTCATATTATGATATATCTGGACAGCTTTGACATGTTAAAATATACATATCTATCATGTCCTTTTCAAGCAGCTAAAGAAAACATTGTGTAGATATACCATGATTTATGTAACCAATCACCTACTGATGAAGGCTGCTTCCAATGTGCTGTTAAAAACATCAGCGCAGTGAACATCCTTGTATATAAAGTTTTGCATACTGATTCCTCAAAAATTTAAAATAGAAATACCATATGATCTATCAATTCCACTTCTGGTACTTACCCAGAAGAACTGAAAGCAGGATCTCAAAGAGATATTTGTATACCCATGTTCATAGCAGCATTATTCACAATAGCCAAAAGGTGGAAGCTACCCAAGCGTCCATCAATGGGTGAATGGGAAACAAAATGTGGTACATCTATACCACATATTATTCAGCCTTAAAAAGGAAAAAAATGCAAATTAGGAATAAAGGGGAATGTCTTTACCTTGACAAAGAACATCTACAAAAGTCCTACACCTAACATTATACTTCATGATGAGAAATTTTTTCCCACTAAAATCAGGAACAAAACAAGGATGTTTCTTCTCACTTCTCTTCCACATTGAACTGGAAGTCCTAGCTAATACAGTAAGACTAAAAAAAAAAAAAAAAAAAAAGAAATAAAGGGGATCCTGATTGGGAAGGAAGAAACAGAACTGTTTTTTGTTAACACATGACATGAGTGTCTATATAAAAAAGTCTGTAACACTCAACCAAGAACTCTTGGAACCAAAAGCAATTACTGCAAAGTTGCAGGATACAAGGTAAATATATGTCTTCCTGTGTATCAGCAATGAGAAGCAGAGTTTACAATCAAAATATAACACCATTTATATCAGCACCCCCAAAAAGTGAAATACTAAGGTATAAATCTAACAAAATATGAAAAAAATTCATGAGATTAACTATAAAGCTCTGATTTAAAAAATCAAAGAACTAAATAAACACAATTTAAATATTTAAATAAATAGATATTCTATGTTTATGGGTAGGAAGACTAAATACTGTCGACACATCAGTTCTTTTATCTCTAGATTCAACATAATCCCAATGAAAATCTCAATGAAGTTATCTTGTGGATATCAACAAACTGACAGTAAAGTGTATGAGGAAAGGCAACAGACTTAGAATAGCCAAGAGAATAATTTAACAGGATTGACACTAGCTGATTTCGAGACTTATTATATAAACCCACAGTAACTGGGGACAGTATGGTATTGACAAAATAACTAAGTCAATGTAACAGAACAGAGAGCCCAGAAACAGACCCACATAAATACAGTCAATTGATTTTTGACAAAAGAACAAAAGCCAACATGAAGGCTTAGCAAATATAGTCTTTTTTTTAATGTGTGCTAGCACAAATATATATCGACAAATTTTTTAAAAAATGAATCTAGAAATACTGTTATGGTCTAGTTCTAAAGAGGGCAGGGCTTTTGGAAAGTGACTGGATCATATGGGGACGCTATATTCGACAGTGGGTTAATCCACTGATGAGTTCTTCATAGGCCTGATTAGAGATGCACCATGGAAAGGTAAGCTTTTAGAAGGGACCTCTCCCTCCCTCCCCCACCCTGCCCCCTCCTTCCTAGCTTCAATGGATTGAGCAGTTTTCCTTGCCATGCCCTTCTACCATGCTATTTCTGCCTTTGAGCCAGCAAACTGTGGAGTGAATCCTCTGAAATTAGAAGTCAAATAAACCTTTTCTCCTTTTAATTTTCAGGTACTGAGCATTTTGATTCAGCAACAGGAAAAAGCTAATACACAGACTTTCCTTATGGGAGGGTGCAACCTGAGTATTTTCTGCAGGCTGGCCTTGAACTCCTAGGCTTAAGTGATCTTCCAGTCTTAGCCTCTCAGTAGCTGAGACTAAATAGGCACATGCAACTCTGCCTGGACACATCTTACATTCTTCACAAAAATAAACTCAAAATGAATGATACAGCTAAATGTAAAGTGCAAAACAATAAAAATCCTAGAAGATAACATGGGAGAAAAATCTAGATAATCTTGGGTATAACAATGACTTTTTAAATACAATGCCAAAGTCAAGATCCATAAAAGAAAGAACTAATAAGCCGGACTTGACAAAAATAAAGACTTTTGCTCTGAGAAAGATACTGTTAAGAGAATGAGAGACAAGCCCACAGACTGGGGAAAAATATTAGCAAAAAGAAATATCTGGTAAAGGACTGTTACTTAAAATAAAGAATTCTTAAAATTCAACAATAAGAAAATGACCACCCCAACTTAAAAATGGACAAAAGACCTGAAGCGATATCTCACCAAAGAAGGTACACTAATATAAATAAACAGATGAAAAAATGTTGATCATATGCCATTGTGAACTGCAAATTAAAACCACAGCAAGACACCACTGTATCCTATAAGAATGAGTAAAACTCAAGGTGAATATACAAAAGCTCTGGCAACACCAAATGCTGTCACAAATGTGTAACAGGTACTCTCATTTATTGCACAGTCACTTTCAAAGACAATTGACAATTTCTTACAAAACTGAATATACTCTTTGGTTTTTTCCGGTACCAGGAATTGAACTCACGACATTGTGCTTGCCGGTAGGCACTGTGCCGCTGAGCTAAATCCCCAGCCCCTGAATATACTCTTAATATATGATCCCAAATCACTCTCACTGTTATCTACCAAAGAATTTAAAATTTTAAGTCTATATGAAAACCTGCACACCGGTGTTTTTAGATCTTTACTTGCAAATGCTAAAACTTGGAAGTGACCAAGATGTCTTCCAGTAAAGGGACAGATACAAAAGTGCTGTTTATTCAGAGAATGAAATATTACTCAGCACTAAAAAGAAATTAAGGCATGAAAAGATATAGAAGAAATTTGTAAGTGAATTACTAGGTAAAAGAAGCAATCTGAAAAGGTTACGTACTGTATGATTTCAACTATATGACCTAGAAAAGGCAAAACTATGGAGACAGTGAAACGATCAGTGATTTATAGACTGGAGGAAAGAGGATAAATAGGTAGCACAGAGGACTTTTCAGGGCAGTAAAACTACTGTGTACATAATGGTGGGTATAATGGTGGATATTATAATGGTGGACGTTATACATCTGTTCAAACACACAATATCTAACATCAACAGTGAACCCTCATGTAAAGCCTGTATATGAGAATGATGTGCGAATGTAGACTCATCTATTAGAACAAATGTACTACTTTGCTGTAGGATGTTGATGGTAGGGGAGGCAGTGTGTGCATAAGAGAGTAGGGGGTATATGAGAAACCTTTGTACCTTCACTCAACTTTGCTATAAACTTGAAACTGCTCTAAAATACAGTCTACTTGAAACTAGTTTTTAAAAAAGGAAATTCTGGCACAAGCTACAACATGAATGAGCCATGAGGATATTTTGCTCAGTGAAATAAGTCAGTCACAATGAGGAATACTGTATCATTCCACTTATATGAGGTAGTTAGAGCAGTTAAAAATCACAGCCACAGGAAAAAAAGTAGTTGCCTAGGGCTGAGGAGAAAGGTGAAAGAGGAGCTGTCTCATGGATAGAGTTTTAGTTTTATAATATGAAGAGGTCTAGAGACTCCATGTACAACATAAAAGTACTTAATATTACTAACCCATCTGCTTAGAAATGGTTAAGATGGTAAATTTGTTATACTTTATCACAACTTGCAATCTTAAAAAATCCCTTACAGCATTCTGTACAAAGAATAAGTGACTAAAAAAAAAACAAAAAACAAGATTGGAGCTCAGTGGCAAAGCACCTGCCTGGCAAGCACAAGGTCGTGAGTTCGGTTCCCGGTACCAGAGAAAAACCAAAAAAAAAACCAAACAAACAAACAAACAAAAAAGAATAAGTGACTAATCTTAAACAATAAAACTAGCCATTATTATGTTTATAAAAAACTTTACATATTACTTGATAATTGTTTTAAGAATGGATTTTTAATGTTAAATACTGGCTTCAAAGGACATGTGTATTTTAAATTTTGATCCATATTGAAAAGTTGAGTGACTAATTTGTATATTAATATCTCTACTTGTATAAACCCACGAAACACATACACAAATTTGAAATTTGACTATAATAATATACAGCATTGCATATCTAGAGTTTACCAAAAGAAATGGCAACCATATAGATATAGAAATAAGACTTTTATGGCTACATGTAAAAAGAACATAATTGTCTATATAAAAGTCTTATTTTTACTCTACTGTAAAAGTCTCACTT